GTCCTGGAAGTGGTGCTCTGGGATCACATGATGTTTTTTTATAGTATTTGTATAGGGAAAATATGGCTACCCCCACATAATTGCATGTGTGCGGCCATCTTTTTCTCATACAGTGGTACCTCGGGTTACATATGCTTCAGGTTAAATACGCTTCAGGTTACAGACTCCGCTAACCCAGAAATAGTACCTCGGGTTAAGAACTTTGCTTCAGGATGAGAACAGAAATCGTGCTCCAGTGGCGCGGCAGCAGCAGGAGGCCCCATTAGCTAAAGTGGTACCTCAGGTTAAGAACAGTTTCAGGTTAAGAACAGTTTCTGGTTAAGAATGGACCTCCAAAACAAATTAAGTACTTAACCCGAGGTACCACTGTACATACCTGATCCTACTAATTTTAGTGGTGAATACAAAATACCTCCTTCAAAAAGTTGTGTTGGAATTATTCATTATGAGTTGGTTTGTAGGAATATAGGATACTAATTCCTGTTCAGAAACATCACTGTAATTCACTGGGCAGCCTGCTCAGTCCTACAAAAATTTTCTCAGAAGTAAAAAGTGTATAGTGTCATTTTCATTTATTGGTTTTATTTTGTTTTCTTTTGTTTATTATCAAATTTCTTTCCCATCCTCCCAAAGGAGCCCAGGGTAGTAAACACCAAAATGTTAAAACTATACAATTAAAAATAGCATAAAAACATTTTAAAGCAATTAAAAAGTTCCAAAACAAGATAATCTAAAAACAGCTAATAATTTCAAGGTTGCTAGGAACAGTATAATTCAGTAATCAAACGCTTGGGTAAACACAATTGTTAAAATTTCTTCTAATATTTAATAATAGCATAGTCAAAGAGAGAGAAAATATCATTGTGTTGCAGCAAGTCCACTAATAAAGGACATTCAAAGAACATTATATCCCTAGTAGCCATAATTTATCTGGTATTGACCACAGCCCGTAAGAAAACAAAAGGTATATTATACAAATATACCACTTTTCACAACAGAACATTAAGTTTTAGAGCAGCTAAGCTTTTAATCACATTTACAATAATCACAAGCTCTAAATGCTAATTACACACTTCATAATGCACCTTATAAAGAGCCCAAGGCAAAAGACTGAATTCTGTTCTATTTACATTGCATAGCATATAGCTGATAACTTGGAGACTTTTGGCTGAAATCCCAAACACATTTACTGGGGAGTAAATCCCACAGAATTCAGAATTTTGAGTAAACATGTTCTGTAAATCAATGAATCACTAATGGTTGCTTTACAGTTCTTTAATTCATTGTGGCTGCAGGGCAAGTAATAATGTGTGCACGCATATATACATATTTAAAACATGCATATTTTTTTTTAAAAAAATACCAAGAGCTGGTGGGATTTAGCAGATAGTGGGTTGACTGGGGAAATCTGGTTTCAAATTTCCATTTAGCCATGATCCTTCCTTGAACTAGCTTCCCAGTTTCGCCTGCCTGACAGGGTTGCAGAGAACATAAAATGGGGATAGTTCCATATACGCCTGCAGAAAACATGTGATAAAATTGAATTTATTTATTCTTTAACTAAAACGCCAACACTATATCACTTTAACTCACATTCTGATAGGTTTGGGGGTTTTTTTTTACGATTGTAACAAGTGGGAATGCCCCATGCAGCATAGAGTGCCTCCATCCAGAGCTCTAGGCAACAAACTTTGCCCTATCCAGGATACTCTGTTCCAGTCTTCCTCCTTCTAACCCAGTTTTCCATCCCATTCCCCACAGCAGTGTCAGCACTCTGTACCCACTGAGCATGCTCAGTTGTCATTGGGTTGCTTAAGAGGTCTCTTTCCTTTGGTTCCCCCTCACCCTTAAAGTTTCTTTTGTACATGTATAAATTTCCCCCAAGCCTACTGATATCTCCCTCTCATATGTGGATAGTGAAGTGGCAGATGAGAACTGAGAGACCTAAGTTCACCATCAGTATATATTTATCACATGTTGGGCAGCCACCAAGAACAATTCCATATGCCCTCGATTTTAAAACAGCAAAATTGACTCATTGTTTTTTTAATGGGATTTAAGACTTTTAAACTTTTGGTACTAGGAGGTGGATATGGACCCCAGTGGCATCAAGGCAACAAGCAAATAAGGCAGTGATCCAAAGACCTGGGGTGGGCCTCATAGCTCAGGATCTGCATCCTAGGGCTGTTAAGTCTGAGATACACACACTTTATGTCCTGTGCAAACGTATATCCTATTGTGCAGGTGGGGTGGATGGCCCCAAAATAAATTGAGGGCTGCACACAAGTAGTAAGATGCATGCGAAAATGTCAACAGGTGAAGATTTCCATTTTAGGAAAGGCTTGACCTGTTGAATTCCTGCCTGAAAAACAGCTGCTAGAAGCACAATAGCCTCACTCTCACCCAGTTGTAAACCATTTATGTGACCACAGATCTTTCAACTAATTGATCTTAGGCTGTCAATACCGCATTCAGCACAAAGCATGGCAGTTGCAAAGGCCAATGTGGGGTCAACAGAGATTTAATATTTACATCGTTCAAGGTGCTGATGTCTGTTCTTGGACAAATCTAGGAGTAAGTTACTGAAAAGCAAGCAGAGTGCTTGAAGAGCATTTGCTGCGGTTATTTATTTTTAATATAGCATACCTCATAAAAACTACAGTAATGTTAGCAGCCTGGGTCAAACAGATACATTTTCTTTTCTTTGATCAAAAGGGACACGAGGTTTTTGTTTGTTTTTTTACATCACTATGCATGTTTTATCCCAGCAGCAGCCACACAAACACCCCAAGAATCCCCCTATGAGTGCAAAAGCAATTAATCACACTCTCTCCCCTGCTGTTGCTGTTATATTCAACAGCTGCCTCCCAACTGCATTTCCCTAAAGAAATTAAAAACACCAAGAGACTGGATAACTCTGGGCTACACTGCAGGACTGTCATTCACTATTCTCTCTCAGCAATTCCCCTCTCCCCACCCCACAAACATAAGTGTACCAGCTCTGGGCTGCTTTGTAGGATCAATAACACCACACAAATTATTTTATAAGAAGTGATCTAGGGAGGATCTGGGATGAAAGGTGAGTAAGGGGGACATATGTTTAAAATTATGTCTGGTGTGAAAAAGGTGGAGAGGCGTTTTTCTCCCTTTCACCCAGTAGCAGTCTGCAGGACAGAGTGATGGTGCTTACCTGTCCGCCTGTCGCTGGCCTTGCTGTAGGTTACTGAGAAGCGAAGGGGAGAGACCATGGCAAGGGGAGCATGGTGTCAACACACTGGGGGAGGCAATCCAGCACTCTTGCTAGCTGCCTGCTACTGCTCTCACATAATACTAGGGAATCTCAAATCATCTGATGGAGCTGAATGCTGGAAGATTCAGGATATATCTATGGAAGTATTTCTTTACTCAGTGCATAGTTAAGCTATGGAATGCACCATCACAAATTGTAGTGATGGTTGCCGACTTAGCTTTAAAAGGGGATTATGCACACTCATGAAGGACAAGGCTATCAAAGGCTGTGTACTGCCTTCAGTATTGGAGCCGTATAATAATAATAAAATTTTATTTATATCCCGCCCTCCCTAGCTGAAGCCGAGCTCAGATTGGCTAACAACAATAAAAGTAACACAGTTTACATAAAATCACAATCAATTAATTGAAACGCATTCTAAAATCAATTCATTCTAAAATCAATTCAAAATCAAATTATTGGCAACCATTGGGCTAGAGTTCTATGAGGATTACGGAAGGAGGGGGTCAGATTGTGCCTTGGCCAAAGGCCTGGTGGAACAGTTCTGTCTTGTAGGCCCTGTGGAAAGATGTCAAGTCCTGCAGTGCCCTAGTCTCTTGTGACAGAGAGTTCCACCAGATCGGGGCCATGGCCAAAAAAGCCCTGGCTCTGGTTGAGGCCAGCCTAACCTCCCTGTGGCCCTTAGTATGCCTTTGACTACCAGTTGCTGGGGAACACAAGTAGGAGAGTGCTGTTGTGCTCATGTTCTGAATGTGGGCTTCCCATGAGCCTGTGGTTGGCCACTGTAAGAAGAGGATGCTAGACTTAGTTTGTCTGAGTGAGCAGGACCTTCATGTCTTTCTAAATATCCACTCCTATTTCATTGTTAGCCGCTCAGTAAGGGAATGCTGAGAGTCAGATAAGCGACTCTGAATTCCCCAAAGGAAATATAGGAGATAAGTATAACGGCAACGCACATCGGTAATTTGTTGTTTAATGGGTTTCTTCATGTAGGCAGTTGAAGGCTCCTTCAACAGTATTCTTGACTATGCTGAAGTATGTGGTGAAATTCTGATTGATTTCAGCTGACATGAATGGCAGTACTTAAATCACTTGTTGTACCAGCTCAGAGGTTTATGGTTGCACAATGAAGCTTTCTCCCCTCTCCTCTCCCAGCCCTCCCCAAATCATAATCCATTAAATAATGTACAGTTTGGTGCCTTTCATGACACCCAAGATCAGCTGCCTAAGGCAAATGTCTCACTCTGCCTATTGGGAGGGCAAGGAGGGTTGGCCATGGAAAAATATTGGTCTCTGGGGTACTCTTATAATCACCCACATATAATTTGGTACATGGTTTTAAATAGTATGGCTCCAACAGGGGAACCCACAAACCACCATCTAGCTCAGCATATTTTATTTTAAATATTGTAAATTGCATTGTTAGGTTAGGAATCTACTTTATACTGAATCAAATCAGCATCCATCTCAGTCCTGTCCATGCTGACTGGCAGGAGCTCTCCAGGATTTCAGACGGGTAACATTCCCACCTCTGGAGATACTGGGGATTGAACCTGGAACCATCTCTGAAGACAAAATGGATGAGCTACCACTGAGCTTCAGCCCTCCTCCCAACAATATCAAGTTGCTTTAGTATTGTTGATGCAGCAGCTAACAGAACTGACTATCCCCTTTGTGTTTCCTCCTTTATATAGGAAAACTGGGATGCAGAAAGTCCTTTTAGACGAGGATGAAGCCTGGGCTGCAGAAAGTCCTTTTAGACGAGGATGAAGCCTGGGCTGGGATGCCAACAGATCTCAAGCAGCATCCCACCACCTCTTCATCACCTGTAGAGACTGAAAAGGTGCAGTGTCCTTGGTGCTGATGTGATTTTCCAGTTAAGTAGGGCAGAATTGGCTTATCTGCCCTTCTTGCACAGTATTGGCACTCCAGCAGCTTGCAAAAAGTGCTTTAGGACAAGTAACACATAACTGAACTCCTATCATAACATGACCGAGTTTCAAATGAAGTTTTTGCCATGGTACAGGCTAGAGAAGTATAGGAAATGCCAAAGCAAATTGCCGCTGGATTAAAACATCTTCCCTATAAGGAGTCATCAAATAAGATGTTTGCTATTTTTTTCATTTCAAAATACAGATAATTGAGAGGAGGGGGCATGACAGAGATTTATAAAATTTATGACTGGTATGAAGAAACTAGGTACAAATTATCCTCTCTCAAACAAAATAAACTCTAAGTAATCTAATGAAACTGATTGATAGTAAGTTAATAACAAGAGGAAGTTTTATATAGCTGTATATCTAAAGATGAACAATTGCATTAGTAAAGCAAACTGATCTCACTTTGCAATGAACAAACAGGAGAAGAGATGGAAGCTCTACAAGCTATTGTCACGTGAAGGGGTCTGTAACTTCAGAGGAAGCAGATCTCTCATAAGGAGGAGAATATAAATTGGTGGCTGTGTTGACTGACCTGTGAGCTGAAACGGTAGGGCTTCCGTGCTGAGGTAATACTTGCCCTCCATTTCCTAGCCAAGGGAGTGGGGTTCAGAAGGAGCTCTCCAGACCTGCAGGGACTGTTCAGAGATGCAGCTGCTGAGGAGCTGTCCAGCATTTCAGCATCACAGCACTTCACTCCTGTTTCTCAGCTTGCTGTTGAGCCTCCAGAGCACAGTGACTGCAAAAGGATGCGCAAAAGCAGGACACAGTCTTGGTTAGAAAGGTAAGGGGAAACGGAGGATCCTAAGCATTAACTCAGGCTATAATGAGTGTAATAAAATAGTGTGTGAAGAATGTCTGTGGGTGAAAAGGAAGACGGAGACATAATCTGTGAGTGTAGATGGGGAAGAGTCTCATTTAGGATTCTTCAGTCACAGAGGCATGGTTTTTATATGTGTTTATTATTTCCCATGAACAAGAATTTTCATAGCATATTCCTCCTAGGCAATGCGCGGAAAGAGAATTAATGAAAACTATAACAAGAGAGGTAATTTTGTGCTTAATTATATAGAGACATTAAATGTCATTTCCATGCAATGTTGAGCTGCATGTAAAATAGCCAGGGGCATGTTGAAACTTAATTTATTTGTTTTAAAATTTTATTTTCCTTAGGAGATCTGTACAGTCAGAGTGCTCCAAAGTGGAAAGATAAAAAGGAAGCAGGATGCAAAAACTATTTAACTATTTAACTGAAAGACTGCTTTACTGGTTTCAGTAAATAGAAAAGAAAGTGCTAGGAGAGGCAATTTACCTGAAAATTAGCTTGAATCAAGCAGCTTCAAGAAATAAGAACCTGAAGGAAATCTCTGATGTAATGTATTTCAAATAGACTGATCTCACTCATAAGGTTTTGTAAAAGGACAGCATCTAGTACTCTCATCTAAACTAAACAATATTTAACAGAGGAGACTGATATTTGTCACTGCAGACAATGGATAATTTTTCCTCCCAGCCCAACTTCAATACTTCCTGTACTGATGTGGATTTTGGTTGCTATGGGTCAGGACAACATGGGCACAACATGACAGCTCCACAGCTGATTCCTAAGTTCTACATTGCCGTACCCATCATCTACTCTGTGATCTGTGCTGTCGGGCTCACTGGAAACTCTGCAGTCATTTATGTCATCCTAAAAGCTCCCAAAATGAAGACTGTCACCAACATTTTCATTCTGAACCTGGCCATTGCTGATGAGCTCTTCACGTTGGTACTTCCTATCAACATAGCAGACTACCTGCTGCTTCAGTGGCCCTTTGGCGAATTCATGTGCAAGCTGATCATCTCCATCGACCAGTACAACACTTTCTCAAGCATTTATTTTCTCACAGTCATGAGCATCGACCGATACCTGGTGGTGGTTGCCACCATCAAATCCAAGAAAATGTGCTATCGCACCTACAGGGCTGCCAAGACAGTGAGTCTCTGTGTCTGGGTTTTTGTCACCATCATCATATTGCCGTTCAGTATCTTTGCCAAGATACACACTGAAGAGGGACGATCCCAGTGTGTCTTTGTCTTTCCCAGCCCAGAGGGCTTCTGGTGGAAAGTGAGCCGCCTCTACACTCTTATCTTGGGCTTTGCCATCCCAGTGTCCACCATCTGCATCCTGTACAGCACCATGCTCTTCAAGCTGAGGCGTATGCGGCTCCACAGCAATGCTAAAGCTTTGGACAAAGCGAAAAAGAAAGTGACAATCATGGTGCTGATCATCTTGGGCGTTTGCCTGTTCTGTTGGACCCCTTATCACCTGAGCACTGTGGTCGCCCTCACCACAGACATCCCACAAACCCCTCTGATAATTGGAATCTCCTATTTCATCACCACCCTGAGCTATGCTAACAGTTGCCTCAACCCGTTCCTTTACGCCTTTTTAGATGACACTTTCCGGAAGAGTTTCCGAAAGTTGGTTGAATGTGGAACTCCCTCCTAAGATTCCGGATCTTTTTCTAGCCCCTTTTAAAATAAGCTTCATGCATTTTGAAGAAACTTCCCGAATCATGATTGGAAGGGACTAGCTCTGGCCATAGAACCAGATCCAAAATGTTGTAAAACTGAAAATTCAGGAATTGGCTCATCCTCTTCTTCAAGCAGTGTCCCCGTATCCCTGCCAGGGTGAAGAAGCTTGCTGCATCACCACATTACATCCTCCGGGGCATTTTTCCCCTTGTTCTTTCTTTTTTGGCACTACATCGATTCATTGTGGATTCTCCTCCTATTGGTATGGAATGCAACATAATTCCTTGGAATGTAAAAAAGAAAGAAAGAAGAAGATTTAATATTCAGCAGACCCAATATACCGAACAGTACTAATTGAAACATGGAGTTTTTTCATGCCAAATAAAGGTGTGCAGAGTGCCTTTGCTTAATGAATCTGAATCCTGCTAGTTTGATACCTGTATTATATTTATCTTGCTGTATTACCTTCCTCCATCATATTTTATTACATATTAATTCTGCATTTGACAAGGTAAGCTTTTATGACAAGGTAATGTGTTCTTCTACAGCTCCCACACATTTAATTGGGGGGATGTGGGCCTAGTTGATTCATTCTTCCTTTCCTCCATATTCAACCACATTGTGTATTTTAAGTTCTGACACATCTTGTAGTTGTGATTATTGTTATTCTGTAAAAATACTGTAATTAAGGCTTAAACTGCTGCACAAATCATCTGTGTACAGACTTTCTTAGATATAAATATTTTGCAAAGGAAAGTGCCCTCTAGCATAAAATGTCATAGCTTGATCTTTGTCACATTTTTTAAAAAAACCATCCCAATCTTTTCTTCTTCTTTTTTAAATACTGGAGATAAGAACATACAAAGCCCCCCAAAGTCCCAACAAATATAAGGAAATAACAGCAATTTTACAAATGGTATATATATATCTCCTAATAAGATTTAAATATTCACAGCTTGTTGTTTTGTAAGTGCCAAGTGGAGATGGGGAAATAAATTACTTTTTTGTAGCAACGTGTGTCGAGAGCCACCTTCAGTAGGAAGCAGAAATTTCAGTCCAAGTACACTTCTCTAAACACCAGGAAAAGTTCTCATTGGAAGAAAGCAGCTCCCTGCTAAACCTGGAGTATTCCCGAGATTCTCAAATCTTTTCTTGAATAGTAGTAGTTCTTATCTGGCAAGCCTACATCAACTCTGGAAGGCACCTTGTGAAAAATTCAATCTGAAGCTTCTCAAAACGAGTGCTTTCCCCAAAGATGATGCAGAGGCTTGCCTGATACAAACTACTATTCAAGAAACAATTTGAGAATCCTGGGGAATACTCCAGGTTTAGATACCTTGTTTTCCCAGGGTTTGGCCACTGTCACATGCTGCGACAGATGGATGTCAACAACAACAACAACAACAACAGGCATCTTGTTTTAGGCATGGGCCTGCTTTCTTCCAATTACCATGTCACAATGCTAGGATTACCTGAATCCCTCCATTTGGGTGATACTGTATATCTTTTTATTTATTTATTTATTTATTTATTTCAAACATACAAATAAATACATACTTCGGTACCTTCTATATAAATCAAATAATGTCAGACTTAAAAACATTACTTCTCAACATATATAAAAAGGAAAGGAAAAAGGAAACAAAAAAGACAAAAAGACAAAACAAAGACAGTGACAAATCACTGGACGTTGTGGTAGATCACTGGTAGATCACTGTCTCCCCCCAAAGAAGCTCCCCTAAAAAAAGCTGAACCTCCAAACGGTGAGTAGATTGCAATCTCTTGGGAGTTGGCCACCCTTGATATACAAGAAAAGCCATTATAGGACTGAATCATATCAAATAGTATCTAACAAAAAAATACATATTGAATTTGTTTTTGTTTTTACCGGTAGATCACGATCTACCTGTTGGACGTGCCTGTTGTATATGATACCTTTCCTTATAGATTGAATCTCTTTACATACTTTAATTGTTGTGGACCTCGTAATGGTTCATTTTCCCCGTATTTAATGTTTTCTCCTCATCTTGGTATGAGGAAGCGATGTATCTCCGTTTACGGAATTATTCCAAACACAACCAAATTTTAGATGTGGGAGGTATATCTTAGTACTACTTAAATACCTTAGTCTGCAGTTTCTCACATGCAGTAATGGGCTACCCATGCAGGAACATAGGAAACTGCTTTATACCAGGTCAAACTACTGGTCCATCTTTGTTCAGTATTGTCTTTGCCAACTGGCAACAGTTTTCCAGGGTTCCTGGGCCCTATTTTCCAACCTTACCTGGAGATGCCAAGGACTGAACTTCAAACCTTTCCTCATGCAAGGCAGATGCTCTACCCCTGAACTCTGGCCCTTCTTCCTCCACCCCTTGGTGAGTGTCAGTCCCTTAAAGGAAGCTACCTAGCTCCCAGACATTTTGTGCACTTCAGCTTTAAGAAGCAGATTTTCACAGGGAACGCTCTGGGGCCAAAAGAAGAATGATCAGAAAAGGAGCTTGGAAGTGTGGACCTGTGCCTGGAAAGAGGGGGTGAAAGGTAAGTATGGGTAAGCCCTAATTAAGCAGCAAGTAGCTAAACATATGCCAGTTAATCCCAGAATTCCACAGCAATCCAGTGAAAGAGCTGGTTGACACTTTGCCTCACAAATGGGTTCCAAGGCAGGATGAACACTCAAATATCCACTCTTCCCATGCCTCCTTACAGGCTGGTGGTCTTTGGTACTGCATTCCCCAAAGGGTGAGAGCAAAGTCATCTCCCACATGCAGCCAAAGAGGGGAGCAATAATCTTATTGTTTTAATATTAATTTGGTATATTACAGCTGGAGTATATTGAACTTTAAGTAAAGGTAAAGGGACCCCTGACCGTTAGGTCCGGTCGTGACTGACTCTGGGGTTGTGGCGCTCATCTCGCTTTATTGCCCAAGGAAGCCAGCGTACAGCTTCTGGATCATGTGGCCAGCATGACTAAGCTGCTTCTGGCGAACCAGAGCAGCGCACAGAAACGCCGTTTACCTTCCCGCCGGAGCAGTACCTATTTATCTACTTGCACTTTGATGTGCTTTTGAACTGCTAGGTTGGCAGGAGCAGGGACCGAGCAATGGGAGCTCACTCCGCCGCGGGGATTCGAACCGCCGACCTTCTCATCGGCAAGTCCTAGGCTCTGTGGTTTAACCCACAGCGCCACCTGCGTCCCATATTGAACTTTACTTCATAGTAAATTAATTACATTAAAATAACTCCATCACCCCTCCCCCCAAAAAACCCAGCCACACAAACTCAGTTTCTAAGAAATAGTGAATTGATATTTTGAGGGGTCAGGGGGGCTGGTGTCCCTTGAGTATTTATACCTTCCATTGCTTGTTGGAATTGTATGTGTATGTAATCCATCACGCTATTTGAGTCATTATGACACAATATTCCTGTCTTACAGCCATCTCTGAATTTGGAGCAGAAGAATTAATCTGGGGATACAGAAATTGCACCCCCTAGATGCCTGGACTACTATTCCCATCTTCCATGACCATTGGCCTGATTGGAGCTGGAGTCCAAAACTACCTGAAAGGGCACAAGTTCCCTATCCCTGAGTTAATCCTTACATATCACAATTTGTGTACGCACATTTTAAACCGTTGTGATTCTCAAAAGTTATTGGGAGCCCGTGGGGTCTATGGGGGGAATGAGTACATAGGATACACATTTGTGGGTTGAAACAGGTGACAACTTTATTAGGTATTCTAGCAAGCCAGTGGTGTTGGCCTGTCAGAAGGGCAGCACAGCACAGCCCCTTGCTGTTAGAATGTTATTTCTGCTAAACACTCAAACCATTCTTGGGGCTTGTCCACTATTAGACCCCAATGTGGGGCAAGCCAGACATCTGGGATCCCATTAGCCAACACAAGTCTGGACCCCTTTCGAGATGGGGTGTGACTTGTGCCTCTCTCCCCCAAGCCCCCTAACTGGATTCCCCCCCCACACACACACACCTTATGTTTTGCCCCTGCTCAATGCCATTTCTGCTCAAAGTTGTGACAGCTTATAGAGCAACATAGAGCAAAGCACTAGTACCATGGATATGCTTGTGGGGCAAAATGACCCTCTCTGTTGGGTAGGTAAGGCTTTTAAGCTATTGATTCCCATCCAGCATCCTCTCACAGGATCTTTCGGAAGCTGGCCAAGAAGACCAAGGCTCCTCTTGGGAACCACTGTGCAAATTGCACTCTGCACTTAGGGGTACACAGAACGGTACCTTATAGTACAATCTTTCTATAGCTAAAACACTGTGGTTATATCCAAAGTTAGTTCTACTCTGAGTAGGCCCACTGAAATCAATGAACATGTCTAACTTAGGTCCATTAATTTCAGTGGGTCTACTGTGAGTAAAACTTAGTTAGATGCAACCCACAACTGCTGTCACTGTTCTGATAGAGAGATTTTGGATCCTTCTTTATTAGAAGAGTGAAATCAGATGATGAAGAATGGTTGTTTCTACTAACCCAGTGGTTATTTCTATATATAGCATTGCACTGCTGAAAATATTCAAGTCTTTTTCGCAAAAAGATACATTCCAAAATATTTGCTGGAGGTGAAAGTTTTCATGGTGGACATGAGTGTGTGTGTTTGACATTTTATGGAATTCATGTCTCTAGTGAGCTCTGTGATTACTTTTCAGACAGAGAATGACAGTTCTTTTTGGCCACAAGAGGGAACTCACTGGATTTAATCAGCTTTTTCTCAGTCATAATATATCATAATATTGGAGCCCTTACTTTTATTTCAGTCATAAAGAGAGTTAGGGAGACAGCATTAAAGATGAAATGATAATTTTAAGATGGAATTAAATTTATACATGCTTTCACATTGCAGAAAAAAATCCTAACTTCATATCTACACTGATGGAGTCTGAGATGACGGTGACTGGCTAGAAAGGGGATTTGGGAGTTGTAGGTTAATGAAAATGCTGACCCAGTGTGCAGCTGCTGTGAAAAGCATGGATTTCATGTTGAAGATCATTAGGAAAGGATTTGAAAATTAAACTAACACTATCATAATGCCTTTGTACAAAACTATGATGCAACCTTACTCAAAATAGGATATTGTGATGCAGCAAAGGGGCCTGGATGCTGGAGCAACTCTCACATGAAGAAGAGTGATCACATTTGGGTCTTTTTAGCTGGGGAAAATTGTGAGTAGAGGGACTCAGTTCTGTGTTGATGTTATTTGTATAGACATTGCCTTTCTTGCATAGAGGAAGGTATCCAAAAGGTCATGAAATCACTACTAATGAATTTACTATTTTTTTCCTGAGTTTATGTGAAAATCTACAGCACTCAACTGTAAGAGGGTGGCTACTGAAGTGTCTCAATCTTGCAGGCGAGCAAATTCACAGAAATGATCCATAGAAAGCACAGGAGTAACCAGGTACTTGACGGTGGTTTCATAGAATTGTTGAGTTGGAAGGGACCATGAGGGTCATCTAGTCCAACCCCCTGCAATACAGGAATCTTTTGCCTAACGTGGGGCTCAAACCCACAACATGAAGAATACATGCTGTACCAACTGAGTTATCCCAGGAATTGGGTTTGTTCCCTTACAAATTAAAAACTCTGTTTGAGGAACATTTCTCTTTTTAAAGTACACCTACTGTATATACATACAGTATATACATAGTATATATACATACTGTATATACATAGGACGCGGGTGGCGCTGTGGCTAAAAGCCTCGGCGCCTAGGGCTTGCCGATCGAAAGGTCGGCGGTTCGAATCCCTGCGGCGGGGTGCGCTCCCGTTGCTCGGTCCCAGCGCCTGCCAACCTAGCAGTTCGAAAGCACCCCCGGGTGCAAATAGATAAATAGGGACCGCTTACTAGCGGGAAGGTAAACAGTGTTTCCGTGTGCGGCTCTAGCTCGCCAGAGCAGCGATGTCACGCTGGCCACGTGACCCAGAAGTGTCTCCGGACAGC